TATTGAGTTCTTTTTCTCTTTCATCAAGTCGCTTTTCTCTTATCTGTAACAACTCTTCTTTTGTTAAGTGTCTAAAATAAACTTATTAGCTCAAAAATAAGAATAAAACTTTCTTGAACAATATTTTAACAAAGCAACACAAAAATATAAAAATTACACTTAAATAGAAAAATTTTAAAAATCTTTATGATAAAAATATCTAAAATATAGCAGATAAAAATAAAATTGCTTAATTAATCATTAATAATCAGCAATCAATCATTAATGATCAATAATCAATGAAATTTTTTCAATTTTTGTGTGTATTTTATATCATGTATGTTATATAATCCTACCTTTAAAGTTGAAAGAACACAACTTGCCTCTCCATTTAACTATTTTTTTGTAGATTATAAAACACAACTAACTTTTTCATTCAATTTTTGTTAGATGCAGTGTTTTTCCTAATGCACTTCCAAAATGTCATGCCTGGTTTTCTCAAAGTACTGTTGCGGGAAGTAACTCCTTTTAACTACTCCAGGTCAGGTCAGGATAATCGAGATCAATCTTGCTACTGGTATCACGTAACCCAGTACCACCTGCCACAAGCCCTGCTGCCTTGCAGAGTGTGCTCTTCTTATGCAAAGGCTAGGAGAAATAAACTCCGACTAAAAATTCCCCTGCCTTGGGGCTCTTGGTTGAGTAAAGGCTAAAGATGGTGTCTCGATAAAAACACTCATCTTGGGCAGATGTTAATTTCATCCAGCTAAACATCCCCTGCCTTGGGGCTCTTGGTTGAGTAAAGGCTAGAGATGGTGTCTCGATAAAAATACTCATCTTGGGCAGATGTTAACTGCATCCAGCTACTGTCTTGTAGAAGGCCTCCTAGGCAAAGACTTTAGGGGTAAGCAGAAAAATTTTGCTAACCAGCCTCGAACCCCTTCTTCATCTATTAGGCTGGCGTAGATGTAACCTGTGTTACATTGTTTCCTGCCTAGGATGATGAATGCTGGATCTCCTTGACTCTACTCATAGAATTTTGCTTATGCCTCCTTGATAATGGCTATGCAACTCTTCCTGTTATCTCCATATGAGGGTACAGCTCTAAAACTCAGTTTAATGGTTCTGAGGCCGGCTGGTAGTAAGGTTTCCCGAACTCTGTGGTAGCTCTCCGAGAGGCTGATTCCATCAACAGCTGCAAAATATCAGAGTATTAACAGTGCCATGTTGCGCATGGATGGTGTCCCTGTTAATGCTTTTGGTGTGCATTGTCAAGGCCACATAAGGAGCCCTATGTCACGGCTTAGGGTTAATTAACAGGACTGAGACAACTGCTTAGCTCATTGATTATGAGGCTGCGCTATATCTATGAATGAGTCTAGTTCTCATTAAACCCAAATCATGACCAAAGTAACCAAAAATTTAAAACCTAAAAAACCATCCCCACCACCTAAATATTTTAATATATCTTTTACAAATATTCGCGGTCTACGAAGCAACTTTTCATCAGTTGAGTCTTACCTCCTGCAAAATTCACCTGACTTGCTTGCACTCAGTTAAACAAATTTAAGTTCTGCAATTCCTTCTTCAGATGTCAGTGTTGATGGGTACTATCCTTTGATTCGTAAAGACTCAATAGTCACATGCTAGGTTTAGGGGTATACATACGCATTAATTCCCCTATTTGTCGTGAAATCAGGTTCGAATCCTTTGACCATTCTTTTATGTGCTTTCGCCTAGCACCTCTTCACTCTATCACCTTTCTCTTTGTTCTTTATCGTTCTCCTTCTTCCCATGATTGCACTCTTTTAGATGTTATCTCTGATCAAATTGACCATGCCCTCTCTCTTTACCCCTCTGCCAATATTGTTGTTGTTGGTGATTTTAATGCCCATCACACTGAATGGCTTGGCTCTAACACCACTGATCCTGCTGGCACTAAAGCCTTTAACTTCTGCGTTTCTCAATCTCTTACTCAGATAGTTAACTTTGTGACTCATTTTCCTGACAACCCTAATCATTTACCTTCACTCCTTGACTTATGTCTTGTCTCTGACCCTAGCTTATGTTCAGTTACTCCCTTTTCTCCCTTAGGTGGTTCTGACCATGCAATGATCTCTATAAATCTTTCTTCTCGTACTTCTTTTTTGGGCTCACCTTATCATCGCACCACCTACTGGGATTCCTTTCGTGATCTTCTTCGTGATGGTCCTTGGGCTGATGTTTTTTCTCTCTCAGCTGACAAATGCGCCTCCTACGTAACCTCCTGGATTCAGGCTGGAATGGAAGCTTTTATTCCTTCTCGTCGGTTTCAAGTCAAGCCTCATTCTACTCCATAGTTTTCTCCTTCTTGTGCGGCTGCTATATCCAATCGTAATCATTTTTTTCATCTTTTCCAAAAGAACAACTCTCTTGAGAACAAATAGCTATTTATTATTGCAAGAAATTGATGTAAAAAGGTGCTTTCTGATGCTAAACTCCATTATTCTCAGTTCACTAAATCTCGCATCTTATCGCAGAAGTTAGGCTCTAAAGACTTTTGGAAAATCTTCAACAGCATTGTTAACAAGGGTAGATCTAACATTCCATCTCTCATTCATGGGACTGATCTTATTACCTCTCCCAAGGATAAGGCAGAACTATTTGCAAAGAACTTTTCTTCTAATTCCACTCTTGAATCTTATGGACATTCTCTTCCTTCCATTCCAGTCAAACAGGTTGACCCATTGTTAGACATTCAAATCACTCCGGCTTCTGTTGCTAAAGTCATATCTCAATTAAACTTGTCTACAGCTTGTGGTCCAGACAACATTCCTGTCACAGTCTTGCAGAACTGTTCTCCAGAACTTTCTTCAATTCTCTCTAAACTATTTAACAAGTGTTTGACTGAGTCTTGTTTTCCTGCTTGTTGGAAAATGGCATCTGTGGTTCCAATATTCAAAAACTCTGGAGAAAATTCTGACCCCTCCAATTATTGTCCGATCAGTCTTCTTTCTGTTATTAGCAAGGTCTTTGAGTCTTTGATCAACAAATTCCTCACATCTCATCTTGAGTCAAATAAACTGCTGTCAGACAATCAATACGGTTTTCGATCCTTTCGCTCTACCGCCGACTTGCTAACTGCTGTAACTGAAAGATTTTATCGTGCATTAGATGGAGGCAGTGAGGCTAGGGCTATTGCTCTTGACATATCTAAAGCTTTCGACAAAGTTTGGTATGCTGGTCTTCTCCATAAGCTTGCTTCATATGGTGTTTCTGGGAAAGTTTTTGAGATTATCAAATCATTTCTTTCTAATCGGTTTATTAAAGTCATCCTTGAAGGCCAACACTCTTCTTTATTTCCAGTAACTTCTGGGGTTCCCCAAGGTTCCATCCTGGGCCCTGTTTTGTTTCTTATCTACATAAACGATCTTCCTGACAACTTTTCATCTAAAGTAGCTCTTTTGCTGATGACTCAACTTTATACTCCTGTCTTGACAAAAAGTCTTCTCTTTTTGATCGCCTAGAACAAGCAGCTGATCTTGAATCTGATCTCACTTCAGTAATAGATTGGGGTTCACAGTGGCTTGTGAATTTCAACTCTAAAAAGACCCAATTGCTTACTGCAAACAACTACCGTAATATGGTCAACATTCCTATATTAATGAATGGCAATCCTCTTACTGAGTCCTCCTCTTTACGTCTTCTTGGATTATCGCTTACTACTGACCTTTCATGGAAACCATATATACAATCGATTGCTAAATTAGCTTCTGCTAAGGTTGCTTCTCTTTATCGTGCTCGCCATTTCCTTACTTCTGATTCCATTCTATACCTCTACAAACCTCTTATTCGTCCCTGTATGGAATACTGTTGTCATATTTGGGCTGGTTCTTCTAACGATTCACTTTCTCTTCTTGACAAGGTCCAAAAACGCATTGTAAATGTTGTTGGACCTGGACTATCTGCTAAGCTTGAACCTCTTTCCCATTGTCGTAAAGTTCCATCTCCTTCTCTTTTCTACAGATACTATCATGGTCACTGCTCAAAGGAGTTATCATCTCTAGTCCCATCAACTAAAATTCATTCTCGTTTTACTCGTCATTCAGCTAAGTCTCATTCGTTTACTGTATCTGTTCCTGCATGCTATAAAAACTTTTATTCATCTAGTTTTTTTCCTCGCACTTCAATCCTTTGGAACTCTCTCCCATCTTCATGTTTTCCTGACTCATACAACCTTCAACTTTTCAAGTCTTCTGTCAACCGTTTCCTTGCTCTATAACTCTGTTCTTTTTTTTTTCCTAGTAACTCCCAACTTAATAGTGGTTGCTTGCAGCCTTGTTAGGAGTGAATGCAAATAAAAAAAAAAAAAATTCTGTTTTTATAGTTTGAATAAAATCGATAATTATGCTAAATTTAATGATAAATCTAACAAAAAAGTACATTTTAAAATTTATACATTAAAGAAAAAACTATTCAAATCTAAGGATAATAATCTGGTATCATTTGATAAAATTCATGCTTTCCTTACTGATTGAAAACAAAATGTCTTATTAGGAGATACCAGATCATGTTAGGTGAGCTGGTATATTCTTTTTTTAAACATCATTTGTTTCCAACAAGGCTGCAAGCAACCACAAATTAGTGTTGGAAGTTACTGGAAGAGAAAAGAAGCTTGTAGAGCAAGATAATGATTGACAGACAACTTAAAAGATTGCAAATTATATGAATCGGGAAAGCAAGATAAAGGAAGCGAATTCCAAAGAACTGATGTTCAAGGAAAAAAACTAGAGGAATAAGAGTTTTTGGAACACTTAGAAACAGTCGCAGAAGGACGAGACCTAACTGAATGACAAGTAACACGAGAATGAATTTTAGTACATGGCACAAGAGACGCTAGCTCTTTAGAGCAGTCCCCATTATAGTATTTGTAGAAAAGAGAAAGAGAAGCAACATTACGACAATCTGATAATGGTTGAAGATTGGCTGCAAAAGCAGGTCCAAATATGTTTACTAATATTTGGACCTGCTCTTCAAAATATACCATTTCTCTTTTGGACCAAATATGGTCCAAAAGAGAAAGGGCATCTTTTGAAGATCCATCCTAGATATGGCAACAGTATTCCATACAAGGCCGGATTTGAGATTTATAGAGATAGAGAATAGAATCCAGAGTAAAAAAATGTCGAGCTCGATAAAGAGATGCTAATTTACTTTATCAACTTTAGCAGATGCTAATTTTGCAATGGATTTGATATATGGTTTCCAAGAAAGTTCAGAAGTAAGAGTCAATCCTAGAAGATGAAGGGTAGATGACTCATTGAGTACATTACTGTTCATAAATATAGGAAGGTCTAAACTATTACATAACAATTGGCTGAAAAAAATTGTTTTATCTGAATTAAAGTTCACCAGCCACTGTGAGCCCCATGCTGTAGCAGAATTGAGATTCTTTTTAAGCTCAAATGGTCCTCCAAGCAATCAGAGAGTGTTGGCTTCTTATCATGACAAGAATATTTGGTAATATCATTAACGAACAATGCCACCTTAGATTTGAGAATATCAGGAAGATCATTAATGTAAATCAAAAAGAGTATAGGGCCAATGATTGAACCTTGAGGAACCCCTGAGGTTGTACAATAAGAAGCAGAATGCTGTCCATCAAGGACAACTTTTATATTACGATTGGAAAGGAAGGATTCAATAATGCTAAAGATGTTTCTAGATACACCGTAAGAAGAAAGCTTATGGAAAAGACCAGCATGCCAAACTTTATCAAACGCTTTAGAAATGTTAAGAGCAATGGCTTTAACCTCTCCACCTTTATCCAATGCACAATAAAACCTATTGGTTATTACTGTTAGCAAATCAGCCATAGAACGAGAAAATCGAAATCCATATTGATGATCAGAAAGTAAGCTGTTAGATTTAAGATAAGAGATTAAGTGTTTGTTTATTAAAGATTCAAAAACCTTGCTTATGATAGGAAGAAGACTAATGGGACGGTAGTTAGTTGAATCAGATCGCTCTCCAGAATTTTCAAAAATTGGGATAACAGATGCTGCTTTTAAGTGCTTATCAGAGTCTTGTTTTCCAGCAGGCTGGAAAACAAGATTTTGATAAGTACTTGTTGAATGGTTTTGAAAAGATAGACAACACTCTGGAGAACACTTCTGCAAGACTATAACAGGTATGTTGTCCGGGCCACAAGCTTTAGAAGAGTCGAAGCAGGAAATCACTTTAGATACAGAAGCTGTAGTGATATGAATGTCAAGCAATGGATCACCTGTTTGACTGCTATATCAGGTAGAGCGCAACTAGTGGAATCAAGAGATGATATTGATGAAAAGTTCTTAGCAAATAATTCAGCTTTGTTTTTAGGTGAGGTAACAAAGTCTGAACCAAAAGAGGTGGAATTACAGACTTGCCCTTATTATTGATACTATTAAAGATTCTCCAGAAGTCACGATTTCATGATCTGAGAATAGCGGGCTTTGGCGTTAGACAAAACCTTTTTACAATGGTTCCTAGCAGTAAAAAACAGAAGTCTGTTTTCTGGAGAATTGTTTTGCTGATAGACATAGAAGTAATGGTTTCGATCGGCAATTGCAGCAGCACAATGTGAGGAAAAGCATGAAGAAGAGTAAGGCTCGACCTGGAATCGTTGAGAGGGAATAAAGAATTCCATGGCAGCCTGAATCCATGAAGTATGTAAGAAGCACATTTGTCAACAGGAAGATGAATAATGAAATTGAATCAATTAGGATATGTGAAAAGGCATTCCATTCGGCTATGAGACTATTTATAAAGAAATTGTATCGATCTTTACATCCTTTTACTAATTGACGTTCAAGTCGTTTGTTGTGTCCATGAAAATTGCATAATGCATTGCTTGCTAAGAAATTCTGTGATAAAAAAAAGTTTTTTTCATAATTTTAAACTCTTCAATCAGATCGCTTCTTTTTCTTTGCTCCTCTAATAGTTTTAGTAGCTCTGAACATTTTCAAGAGTGCTAATGTCAGACTTCTGATGTGGTGACCAAACTTTACTTGCGAATTTAAGATGTGGGCAGATATAAAGGACATATAGTGTGCACCATTGTTTTGAGCTATGACTATGAAAAGCCTTCTTTACCCTTCCTAATACATGGTTTGCTGTTGATGCTGCTGTTTCTACTTGTGTGCGAACTTTTAAGTCATTTAAGCCCATTATACAGAGCCTTACAGACAATTATCACGTTCAATTGTTGTGACTTTAATTGGGCATCTAAGGTTGTCAATATTTAAGATCGTGAATTAATGTGACAACTTTTTTTGTTTGCCACGAGCAAGCATTATTTTACTCTTTTCTATATTAAGAGACATATGTCAAAATATCGACCATTCAATAGTATTATCAATGTCTGCTTGAAGATTTTTTATGCCATTTTCTGAGTAACTTACCCCAATAATTTTGCTGTCATCAACATATAATTTCTTGTGATGAACAATTTTGTTATATAATCATTAATGAAAATCAATCAATTTCATTAAATCATTCATGAAAATCACAAAAAGAACCAAACCCATGACTGAACCTTGAGGTATGCCGCTCAAATCTTCACTCCATTTAGGCGTATAACTATTAATTTATACACATTGTTGCTGATTAGTAAGCCACGATTTAATCCAGTTGTATAGCTCTCCTCATAAACATAAACATTAAAAATTAAGTGTGGTAACTGATATCTAATATTAGGCATAACAAGTTGCCCATTATCAAAAACAATATGGAATATAGCAGCTTTGAAAGAAAATTCTTTTTTTTTTAAAAATCTGATAATTTTTTTGTTGAAACTCCAAAAACTTTTTGTTGATATCATCATTAAAATCAAACTTCAAAATTTTTTTTTAAAGATACTTTGAACCAATGAGACTAAACCTAAGAATGATTATAAATACTTAATTCCTTAGTATGTATTTTTTTTAGTATTTTTTAGTATCACTGACAGCTAAAAAAAGGTCAAGAAAAATAATGTGTTAATGAAAAAAAAAAAAAAAAAATTGGATTATTTAGTGGAAAATGCTTCAAAAAGTTGATACAAATTTTGGACAAAACAAAACGTCAACATCAAAAAAACTTACATATTAGGAAAAAAAAACATATTAAGATTTAATGCATTTTTTTTTTTAATAAATTATTTTTATTACAGCAGCATTCTATTATACCAGGTGTGCCACTAACATTTTAAAAACCAAAAATAAAAAATGATTGTAATTACCTGCATAATTCAAGAGTTTTTAACATTGATACAAGTTTCATTCTTTTGGATGGTTGCAGAATAACATTATTAATGACAAAAAAACATTTAAAAAAATCTTAGGCTGTTTTGCCAGTAATGTAAAGCCTTTGAAATTGTGAACAATAAAAATGGCAGAGTATACCATAGCAGGCAACATTTTGTTATTGAGAGCTTTCTTGGTATACATGTACTTTTCAGTTTGTAGTTGTAGCAATCCCTGCTTTACCATTAAAATCTTTTCATACAGTAGAACTTTAAAATATTCTCATAAGTTGTCTCCATTACTCTCACTAATATGTAGAAATCAACAAGCAAAGACTGACAAGTAGAGCAAACATCCAACATCCTCAGAAATTAATGCTTTTAAACTTTCCAAAAGAGCATTGGTAACTGTATGGAGCAAACATGATCATTTAAAGAAAATGTTTTTTTAAGATTATTTTAAAACTTTTTCATGAGCAATTTATTGACACCATCCATACCAAGGGAAAGAATTCTGGTTTCTCTAACAATTATTTAAGATAGATATAAAGGTTTTAATCTTTATTTTTTAAAATTCTATTGAAAATTAAATTTTAAATAATACTTTTGCAATTTAAGATTATAATTTTTGTGCTATTAAGTTATTTTTAGGTGTTGTAAGTTTTCTATTTTCTGGTGTTATACCGGATTTTTAAAAAAAAACTTAATAACTGATAAATCCAGTCTTTTTATACTGATAACTAAAGGTCAAGACATTATTAAATGCAAGCAGAACTAAAAAGATTATATATAAATAAACTTGTATTTTATTAAATTTTTTAGATTAATAATAACTTGTATTGTAGGTTGCTTAGTTACAGTTAGTTTAAATTAAAAATAAAATCTTATGAATCAGCTGACTAAGGTTTTTTTTTAGTGTTTTGCGAGGTTTTCAGCAATAATAAACTCATCACAATTTTTTCAATAACTAATTTTTTAATAAACTATAATTTTTATGAAGAAAAAATTATTTTTGTACAAAAACTTATGTTTAGGAAGCTTTCCTCTAAATATAAAAAAAATAAATAATGGAATTCTGAATGTTTTGTTCTTAAACTTTTTAATATGTTGTTTTAAAACTTTTGAAATCTTAACTCAGTCGCAAGCAATTTTATTTTTATATTTGGGTTCATTCCAAAAATTTATTAATTCATACAAATAGCTTGCATATGAATTTAGAATTATCAAGATTTCACAGGAAACAATTTGTAATTTATTGTTATAAATCAAAAAAAAAATGCATTTTTATTATATATATAAAAAAAACTGTTTTCCAAAAACAACTCACTTCTGAAATTCTTGCAGATGTCTCACATTTGCTTTTAAAAGCTGGCTGTCAAGTATATCTTCAATTGATGGCCTCAAATGTTCCTATTAATTATGAAAACAAAAACAATGTTAAAAATAAAAAAACTTGTAACTTTACCACCAAGTGTCAACTTAATAAGTCTTACTTAATAGAAAGTGTCAACTTAATAAGTCTTATTTTATAGAAAGTGTCAACCTTAATAAGTCTTACTCTATAGAAAATGTCAACTTAATAAGTCTTACTTTAACAGTAAGTGTAAGCTCAATAAGTCTTTGTATATCTTTTGAATAGTGTGATGGAATCGGCTTGAAATACCCATCCTGTATTTTCAATGCTAAAAGATTTTGATTTGCTGCTAAAAATGGTGGCACAAGAGCACACATTTCATATATTAAACATCCAAGAGACCAAATATCAGACTTCTCATTGTAGTGTGCACGATTCACAAGTTCCTAAGAAAAAGATATACTTATGATTTATTAAACTATTTTTACCTAACAACATCAACAACTACATATTGCAATCAAACCTAACAACATCAACAACTACATACTGCAGTCAAACAACATCAATTACCTGTAAAGTTACTGTAAAAATAGTTTAAGTATTACATGTGTAGCTAACTATCTAATTTCTCATCTTTCATTTACATAAACATACATTATTATATATATTAAATATATTACAAAATTCTACATCAATATGAACTCTTAAAAGAAAATTTTTTAAAATTATTACTTTAAAAATGTATATCTTTAATATGCATTCTTTAAAAAAGTAAAAAACTAATGTTAAATATACAAAACAGATTAAAATAAAAACAATTTTATAAAACAAAAAAACTTCAATTAAAACTTTAAACCTCATAAGAGATAAGTACATAACTACAATGTATGTGCTGGCATTTTATATGGTATACTATACTATACCACTATTGTATAAATAACCATATACAACAACAAAAAATTAATATAATACTATAATATATAAAAAGTAATAGTGTACAAAACAAAAATAAGAAAAATTATCAAAATAGGATAGCGTCATAAGGAGAAGAGAGACAATTTTATTGTAGAAAACTCATAACTCATACCCTGAGTATGCTAAAATAACAACATATTGCTTAAAAGTATATTCCACATAAAGCAATATATAGTTTTTATAATTATTTAAAATAACGCTAAAGTAGAAAAACTCCAACTGAGAGGAAAGGATTCAGCGAATGTCTAAGATATTCCATTAAATGAAACAGTCCAAGGTTTAGAAAACAATTTATTAACTTTACATAACTCTTTAAATTTAAAACTTTATATAACATTTTTTTTCTATAATGATGAGTATTCAAGACGATTGCTTAGTAAAAAAGGTTTTGTTAACATTGAAAAAGATAATTGATTTTCATTAACCTTAATGAGCTCTATGCAGCATATATGATAAAGTACCCAGAATATAAAAACTGATTATCTAAATTTTGCAGTCTTCACCTAAATATTGCATCTTTGTTGGGTACAATACACTAAAATATGAAATTTATGGCAAATACTGCAGGCCTTGAAACTTTTTGAAACCATTGAAATGATTATCTTCAGCAAGATGTTGAAATATCCAAGTTTGGATATTTCAACATCTTCACTTCCAACAAGGTAAGAACAACCACTATTAGAGTTGGAAGTTACTGGAAAAGAAAAAATGGAGTTTATAGAGCAAGATAACGATTGACAGATAACTTAAAAGATTTCAAACTATATGAATTGAGAAAGCAAGAGATATTCAAGGAAAATACTAGATAAATAAGAATTTCGGAACACTTAAGAACAGTCACAGTAAAAAGTTAAGACTTAATTGAATGATGAGTAACATGACAATGAGTTTTAGTAGATGGCACAAGAGATGCTAGCTCTTTAGAGCAGTACAGATTGCAGTATTCATAGAAAAGAGAAAGAGAAGCAACATTATGATTATGTGATAATAGTTGGAGGTTAGCTGCAAGAACAGGTTCAACTATGTTTACAATGCATTTTTGCACCTTGTCTAAAATAAAAAGGGCATCATTGGAAGGTCCGCCCCAGATACGGCAACAGTATTCCATACAAGGACGGATTTGAAAATTATAAAGATAAAGAATATAATCCAGTGTAAGAAAGTAGCGAGCATGATGAAAAGATGCAACCTTAGCAGATGCTAATTTTGCAATCGATTTGATATATGGTTTCCAAGAAAGATCAGAGGTAAGAGATTATCCTAGACGCTTCATTGAGTACATTACCATTCATAAATATAGGTAGATCTAGATTATTGCAATAGCGATTAGATTTAAAAAAAATTGAGTTTTATCTGAATTAAAGTTCACCAGCCCCAGTTCAGAGCCCTATGCTGTAGCAGAAGTGAGATTCTTTTCAAGATCAAATGCCTCTTTTAAGCAATCAGAGAGTGTTGGTTTCTTATCAAGACACAAATTGTAGTATCATTAGCAAACAAGGTCATCTTAGATGTGAAAAAATCTGGAAGATCGTTATTTAAATTAAAAAGAGTATAGGGTTAAGGGTAGAACCTTGGGGAACCTCTGAAGTTACAGGATATGAAGAAGAGTGTTATCCTTCGAGGATAACTTTTACTTAACAACTGGTAAGGAAAGATTCAATAATCTTAAAGATGTTACCTGATACACCGTAAGAAAAAAGCTTATGGAGAAGACCAGCATGCCAAACTTTATCAAACGCTTTAGAAATGTCAAGAGCAATGGCCATAACCTCTCCACATCTAATGCACAATAAAAACATTTGTTTATTAATGTTAGCTAATCAGCTGTAGAACAAGAAAATTGAAATCCATATTGATGATCAGAAAGTAAGTTATTAGATTCAAGACGAGAGATTAAATGTTTTTTAATTAAAGATTCAAAAACATTACTTATGATAGAAAGAAGACTAATCGCATTGTAGTTAGACAAGTCAGATTGCTCTCCAGAATATTTGAAAATAGGGACCACTTTCCAGCAGGGTGGAAAACAAGACTCTGATAAGCAGAAAGTATAGTATAGACAACAGCAGCGGAGAACATTTCTGCAATACAATAACAGGTATGTTGTCAAAACCAGAAGCTGTAGAAGAGTCTAAGCAGGAAATCACTATAGTTACAGAGGTTGGAGTGATACTGATGTCAAGCAATGGATTAAGCAATTGAGTAATTGCTTAATCCATGTCTTTGTTGATGATATATGTATATATATATATATATATATATATATATATATATATATATATATATATATATATATATATATATATATATATATATATATACACATAATTATGTTTTTAATATTAATAATTTTTATTCTAGATTGTTTGCTTTTAGTTTCAATGCATCCACAAAGTAAGTTTTTTTTCATTTTCAGGACATAGTGTTCCTTTTTTTATTTTCAAAACGAAAAAAAGTTAAATATGTCTTTTGTTTTCAAAGTTTTTTTGTTATAGTTATGCATAGTAGTATGCACTTACAATTATTCACTTACAATTATTAAAATTCCTTATAAAGTATCAAGGCTTGGCTGTTATAATGACTTTGGAAATATTGCTGGAATGCGACTCTTCACAACCCTTGTAAACTACCATTCTTTTATTAATTGGAATAACATAAGTGGTTGATTCAAAAATATAACTGAGTTATGTTCACCTTTTGTTAAAGATAATAGTTTTGAAGTTAGTGACCTTATCTTTATAAAAACTTTAGAAAAATGATGTGATAATATCTGGAAGATTGTTAATGTAAATTAAAAAGAGTATAGGGCCAAGGATTGAACCTTGAGGAACCCCTGAGGTTATAGAATAAGAAAAGCTTATGGAGAAGACCAGCATGCCAAACTTTATCAAGTACTTTAGAAATGTCAAGAGTGATGGCCTTAAGCTCTCCACCTGTTTGAGATAGAGATTGAGAAAGGTAAAAGTCGTGGGCCTTAACACCTGCAGAGTCACTGACACTAGAGCCAAGCCATTCAGTATGATGCGCATTAAAGTCACCAACAGCAATAATATCCGCTGATGGATAAAGAGAGAGGGCTCGTTCAATTTGGTCAGAAATAACATCAAAAACAGTAGTCTTGACATGAAGGAGAGCAATATAGAACAAAGAGAAAGGTGATAGAGTGAAGTGGTGCTAAACAAAAGCACATAAAAGAGTAGTCTGTGGATTCAAACCTAGTTTCCCGAAAAATGGGTGAATTCTTACAAATGTAAATGCTCAGGCCAAGCATGTGACTATTGGAGTCTTAAATACCACTTAAAGGAAGATAACCATCAACACTAAGATCACAAGATGAGACAGCTGAACTCAAATTAGTCTTACAAAGAGCAAGTAGGTCTTGTGAACTTTGCAAAAAATAAGACTCAACAGAAGAAAAGTTTCAACGACCACGAATATTAGTGAATGATTATTAGTGAATGGTTTAGAGAACTTAGTGACAATGATGGTTTTTTGTTTTTTATAGTTTTTGATACTTTAACCATTTTTAAATTTGTTAAAGGGATCCCCAAGTACCGAGACAAGTTGTGTTCATATCATAGATAAACATAAGAAAATAAGTTTAAAACCAATTAAACTTTCCAAAACAAATTATTGAATGAGATATTAATAAAAGCATTTGTTGTTTTGCCATTATACTTCTGGTTATAAGGTTAATATTAACCTTACAAATCTGCATAGTTTTTTCCGTTAAAAAAACATCTAGTTTCAGTAATAAATGTTTTCGCTTACCGCAGAGTTTTTTGAACTCAGTTCAGTTTTATACAATTAGATTGGGTTTTCCCCTTTATATTTAGTCTGTGGTGGCTATAATAACGTTCGCTGTAGCATTTTTTTGTTTAGCGTATCATTAAGTGTATCATTAAGTAAACTAGCATAATAAAAATAGTAATTTAGGTGAAGCGAACTTTAAAATACATAAGATGAATATTTTTTCTTAGAAAATAAGTAATTTTTTTTTTTATATACACCACTTAGTACAATATCCAACAATTTTAATTTTGAAAGTTGAAAAACCTTTACTTTTTTTTATTAAATTGAGGAAACCGTTTTAAAAATATATATTTTTAACTTATGCTTATAATAATTCAAGAAATTGTTTTTAAAATGATCTAATATATATTTTTCAGAAGTATATAAAATTTATATTAAAAACTTGAATATTACAATTTCGTTTAACTGCTAAATGGGAAACCCCTGGAATTTAATTTTTTTCAAAGAAACTTATTGTATTGACGTCAAATATAAGCGCATTAATCAGACCTGATTTAAAAAATAAAAATAGTCAAAGACCCGGAACTTTCCTTCGCCAGAAACAAAATGGCATTAAAAATTAAAAAGTTTTTTGTTAATATCTTATTCAATAATTTGTTTTGGAAAGTTTTATTAACTTTCAACTTATTTTCTAATGTTGATCTATGATATGAACACA